CAAATTTTTGGAGGATTCCCTTCGAAATCTGCAAAATGCATTGGAGCGACTATTTGGCCCACCGAAAAGTCTATATATTTGCCAAAACCCATCCGATTCTTGAGCGGAATACCTTAAACGATTTCTATATCGATTCTCAATAAATCTGCATCAAATTCTACAAACAAAATATTTTTTAGATTTTTTGTCAAATTTCCTGGAGGATCCCTTTCCAAATCTGCAAAATGCATAGGAGCGACTATATGGCCGGACTATATATAAAATCTATCGTCACCGATTCTCTATATATCTGCATCAAAATCTAAAAACAAAATATTTGTTAGATTTTTTGTCAAATTTTTGGAGGATTCCCTTCGAAATCTGCAAAATGCATTGGAGCGACTATTTGGCCCACCGAAAAGTCTATATATTTGCCAAAACCCATCCGATTCTTGAGCGGAATACCTTAAACGATTTCTATATCGATTCTCAATAAATCTGCATCAAATTCTACAAACAAAATATTTTTTAGATTTTTTGTCAAATTTCCTGGAGGATCCCCTTCAAAATCTGCAAAATGCATGGGAGCGACTATGTGGCCCACCGAAAAGTCTATATCTTTGACAAAACCCACCCGATTCTTGAGCGGAATACCTTAAACGATTTCTATATCGATTATCAATAAATCTGCATCAAAATCTACAAACAAAATATTTTTTAGATTTTGTGTTAAATTTTCTGGAGGATCCCTTTCCAAATCTGCAAAATGCATAGGAGCGACTATATGGCCGGACTATATATAAAATCTATCGTCACCGATTCTCTATATATCTGCATCAAAATCCCTATCAATCTATAGTAGAATTAATTTAACAACCTTCCTTATAAATGTATTTCTCAAATAAATTAAATGAGGAGAACGGAAGGAAGTCGATGACGACAGGACGTCTAACGTAATTCGCAATAATGTCTTTTATTATTTTCATTTCATTTTTCAACAGCTTGTTGCTAATTTTTTATAAATATTGGACGCAAATTGAAGTGTCTGCTCTGGGGGTTGTTTCAGACCCATGCAAATTTCTGAATTAATAATTTTCGCGTATTGCATAAGTTATCACGTGCGCGTTTATGATGACGATTATTATCTAGACAGTTTTCCCATTACAGAGCGATTATAGGGATGGCATTTATAAGGATCGGGGAGTTCGGGACTTTGGTTTTTATTTATTCTTAATTTAGTAGCCACGTGCATTGAATCGACTTTATTATTATACCAGAAGTACAGTCGCGTCCCTTGGAAAAAGTGCTTCCACAAAATATAGCATACTTATGGGGCTGAGAAAGATGGTTGTGAAAAAAGTGTAAAATTGTTATTAATTGTTAAATTTAATGCAATTTATAGCAGAATTTATTCCTCATTGCTTTTTGTGTTTATTTATTCGTATTCGCCTTCCTCCGTGATTTTTAACCACTTTTCCTGTAAAAATTAATGGCAAAGGTTTGGTGTGATTTACTTCTTTCTATAAATCAAACAAATTTAATTATCAATAAAACATTTATATACAGACCATATTTACATTGGAACTTATTGCTTCAACTGGTAAAACTGTAGTTGTTTCCTGAAAAACCACAAAGCCACTAAAAAACCTGAAAACCACTTCACGATTTCAAAAAAACTTACATTTTTGGTCTTAAATGACTTCCTAAAATGAAGATGCCGATGATTACAGTGTACCATCTATACGGTTATAAAATTTTAATATCTCTTTTATTTACTTGGTTTTTTTCAAACACTTTCCTCTATTTCCTGTCTAGTGATTAGCAAAAATCCACTAAAAAAAATCAGCCACATTAAGCTCTTCATTATGTTCTGAATTACTGGAAACGCAAATTTATACTGATATGAATACTAAATACGCATTTTCTGAAGACCAAGAGAGCGAGATTAATTCTTTCCAAAGGAGATAGCAATTCTTCAGAGCTTTAAAATGAATATCTTTAATAATAAATCCATGTACATCCATGGCACAGTTTGTTTAAATATTTATTTTTATTATTTTATTCTATATTTATGTTTTTTTATGATGTTTAAGTCCTTTTTCTTCTATCGATTCGGACCTTTCGACCCAAGAAGTATCGATAATGGCCACTTAAGCTTGATCTATTAAATCGATTAATGGTGGTATTTGTTGCCTAAAAAATAACCAAAAATTTGTATGGTGTCTGTCATATTTGAAAATGTTAAACTCACCTCCAAAAAAATATTTGGTAGTGTTGTAGTCAGATACTGATCGTCCATTAATGTATCTTCTTTATTACAATGTGATTGCGAATCGTTAAAATCCCTCAGAAATCTCACGAAGCTCATAAAGCTGGGTTGAGAAGGCTTCTAAGATTATAATTTATATCCTTATTATTTTTTTTTTTTATCTTCAGCATCTACAGACCGTTGTTGGCTCTTGTCCATTTGTTATTAAAAATACTCCGAATAAACACAATATCAATGTAGTATTCATATTTTTCAATATACTTTAACGACTCCTGTGTAATTTTAGACAAAAACACAACTTGTTCTGGCAAAAAGAATATTTTAAGTGAATGGAAATTCTTCTTACTAGTGATAATATGAGTATAAACATTGAGAGTCTCTGGTCTGTAAAACCCATTGAGATATCAATTGCGCCTCTCTGTAATTTTTCGCCTCAGCCCATCTACAATCCATTAACTAATGAAAGCGATCCGAAATCCGGATACTTTGCCATTTTTATTTCAATTTATTTATTCGCAGTTTTTCGCATTTTAATTTCATTGAATTTATACAACAATTTGGCCCAAATGTTCACAGTTCGTATTGTTACCCTTGCTCGCCCAGTTTGAGGGGTGCAAACGCCCTCCTGCTCATGCAAAGGACCCAGGATGTGTGTCCTGTAGACTCACTTTGGCATTGACGTTTAATGGCATGTCAACGTCTGAGTCGCACGTTGGCATTTATTGATACGTCGCTCCTCAGTTAACAAGTCGATAAAGTTTTATAGTCGAGCGTCTCAGCTGCGAATAAATGGAAATGGAAATCCAATTGCCAATGTCATAAAGGGGAAACCCAGCAAAAAACAAAAGAGACATGGCAGAAAGTTCTACCTGAGGAGTGAAGTTCAAGCCCTTGGCCGGACCATATGGCTAATTTTCTGTCCTTCCTTCTAATTTCCCAATTTCAAAAACAAACTTTTTACAAAGCGCAGCCGAATGCAATTATGAAACACAGACTGGGGTTCATGGGGTTGTCGGTAAATTGATTAGAAAAGCATTTTCCTTTACACTCCTTTTTGAAAGCCTTGGCCTCTGAAACGCACATTAAATTGGCTTTATAATTGGTGGATGGGCGTGGTCGTAACGGAATTACTCCGCCCAGTGGACAATTCAATGCCACTGCGGTTGCCAGTTGGCCGATATTTTGATTGACAAGGAAATTGCCTGACATGGCAGATGGGAAAAAATTCGTTTGACAAAAAACAATAGAGGGGTTTGGCTTTTTAAAGTTCTTAACTACTTAACCTATATAAGCTACCTTATAACCTTGCTAATTCTATTGATTTTAAAGTGGAAACTAAATGAATTCCCCATAAACTTCCACCAACAAACTTCTGCATTGAATGAACAATTTCTTGAATGGAAAACCGGTTTCTGAATCAGTCAATATTTTGGCCGATTATCCAGAAAAAAATGCTTGCTTTTCAATGTCACTCAAGTTTGCCAATTCCCATATCTATGCTAGCTTTTGTGTTTCTGTCTGCGATAATGTGGTTCAAGGTTAAACAAAAATCGCCAAAATGCCGATAATGAGCTGCACAAGCATATCGGTGTATCTGTATCTTCATAGGTATCGGTATCTGTAACTGGTGATGGCGCCGCTCTGTCTTGGATCTGGTTTTTGTGAGCATTTGGCCAGGTGTCATCGTCGCCAGCTGATAAACATCATGAATATTAATGCACGGCTCATAATCACCACGAGCATTAAATCAAAATCCAGTCAAGTCAAAGAGTCAAGTTCACTTTCACTCCATGACGCACTCCGATGATGAGCCGATGAGCGTCGTCTCCCTCCCTTTCATCCAGCAACTGGCTTTTGGCCAATTTTGGTCAGTGGCCCACTGGCAATCTTGGCTTTGTGCTTTTAGCCACCTGCGCATCGCATACAAATGGCTTGGATCGCTTCAATTTTCGGGCCTGGCTATTTTCGGCTCACACACGGAGGCCTGATGAATGGTCTGGCATCGATTTGGGTTCCGATTTAAGCTCCGATTTGGATTAATTTTTTGTTTTTTTATGTTTTTTTTTGGCAGCACCATTGCATCATTGTATCACTTTTCGAGTGCACGCGAATGGCGGGTGAAAGCAAAGTGTGGCAATCAATGACGACATCAAAGGCGAAGACTGCACCAGCGGGTTTGACCAGCTGGGGCTTGGGCTGGCGAACAGCTGATATGGCCCAAAGAGTGGCGATTAAGTGGCTGAAAGCTGCACTAAAAAATATATATATATATACTCATAAAAAAATATATATATTTGTGCATACTGTGCATAAAATGTTTGAGTTTTTATTGAAAAACCAGGTAAAACTAAATGGCTTTAACTCACTTTGTAGATTCTAGGCAAACACATCGTAATTTAATATTTTCTGGGAATAATTTTTGACTCTTAAGTTATTATAGCAGCTATATTCCAATACTCTAATTCCATCTATCAACATCTAATAATGCTTTATTTATAAATCACATTTTTCCAATAGCTTATATGAAGTTTTATTCTGGCATTAGAAATGATAATAATGTCCTTTCATTCTCAAACCCCTTTGAAAAAATACAAAAATATATATGTTTTTTTAATTTATTAAATATAACAAATAGCTGGCATATATTAATATAATTATTATAGAACTTATACTTAAACCTTCGGAAAAAGGCAATTGCCATGTGTGTAAATCTTCACCTGCAGCAGCTTAAACGCTCCCATTGTTTCAATTAAACTTCATAGAGCGTGTAAATAATTCAGTAGTTTATTTAAATAGAAACATGTTTTTCAGACTTTTGTTATACACTCAGACACCGACAATCGGGTAATCAGACAATCGTACTCGCATTCCTCACTCATTCACTCACACGCTTAACCAAATAGTTAATGGCTGGCAGTTAGATAATTAGAAAAATATGTACAAACAGGGAGGGGGGGAAGGCGTTTTAAATATATATACTATCAATTAGGCGCCAATTGTTTCACCCCCATAAAAAAAAAAATCCAAATTAAAAACTGAAAATCTGACGTCAAGGGAGCAGCAGCTGCTGCTGGGATTCCAATTGGGCCTGTTGCGCGGGTTGGCTATTATTCTTTTTCTGCTGGATAACGCCATCGATCCACTCCGTGTATTCGGCCACGTTAGTATAAACAGCCGGCTTTCCGGCCATTCCGCACTGCGTGAACCCGTAGCTGACCACGCCGTAGGCCACCCACCGCGACTTTTGGCGATCGAAGTACATCAGAGGTCCTCCCGAGTCCCCGGCACACGTGTCCTTGGCGAACTCTCCGCCAGCACAGAGTTGCTTTGGGCCAAGTCTAACACCGTGGGCCTCCAGGACCTTGGTGCAGTTCTCGTTGGAGACGTAAGGAATACGGAGTTTCAACTTAATTGGACTGTGTATGTTGATGAAGTATTTGTTGACTGGAAGAGAAAAACAATTACGGTATTAGAAATAAAATTTCATAAAAAAACATTTATTAATGCGCAGACTATTAATGCGCAGTTGAAACATTTCCATTTGCTTAACATTTCAAAGGCGGTTAAGAAAAACAAACAGTATATTTTAGTTATTTATCTTTTCCTAATCAAAACAATAGTATATTTTAGTGAAAAAGTTTCCATTAAATAAAAATTCTTACAAAAATCCGTACGACCCCAACCGGAAACGGAAAACATCTGGCCCTCCGTCAACTTTAAAGGCTCTGTTTTGTTGGGCAAACATATCGGCATAACAAAGTGCGTGAAGGAAACTGGATGTTTCAGTCGAATAATGGCTATATCATTGTATTTGTAATTTGAATACTCCTTGTAGTCGGGATGGACATATATCTTGTCGAAACCTATATCCAAGGCGGCGTCGGCACAGCTTAAATAATTGGGTTCCTCAATGCAATCGGGCTCTGTTTTAACATTAAACTCGCCCAGGCGAACGTGTTTTCTGGGTAAATTAAAATTAGAATATTTATTTTATTTGATTTATTTAATTCTTAAATATTAAATATGACTTACAATCCACTGCGTTCTCGTACACCATCGCCCTGTACACAATGAGCTGCTGTCAGGATATGACGATCATCTATTAGGGCTCCACTACAACCATAGTCATCTGAAATAATTAATGTTGTTTTAAATTTAAGTATGAAATATTAACCTTAAACCTAAAATTAAAATCATTTCAAATATCAAGCTTTTATATATGAGTTTAAGCTTGTTATTTTGGTTTACAACTTTAAATACGATTCTAGAAATGATTTTTAACTGTTAATTATTGGATAAAATTTCTTAAATGGTTATTTTTGAAGTTTTTTATGTCCAAATTTTTGATTATAAAATCTCTAATATTTCTTAACAAATCCTGACTCACTTGAATTATAAACGAGCAACGCCAGCCAAGGATACTCATCGAGTTCAGCTATCTCCCCGCCGTAAATGCGGTTGGTCACCTGCTTCCCACACTCGTTCAAAAGATTAAAGCCAGAACTAGGCTCTACAGTTTGGATCCTTCTTTTCAGTTTCTTCTTTTTGAACCTGGCCGTAACATCCAAGAATCTCCTATATTCGAACTTGGAGAACTGGAGTACGGGATACAGGTAGTCCTGGCCATTCGCCGGACAACAGACTAGCGACTCTAATTCATCCAAACTCTCACTTTGTTGTTCCACGTTGCACTGGACTTTTTTGAGGAAATTCACCTTCTCCGCCGGCAAGTTAGTGACATTTCGCACCTGGAGATACGCGGCACATTGGCTGACCTTCACACACACTCCCCTTTTCATTTCGTTGGGAATATCGCAGCCCGGCAGCTCCTTTTCGACATCGAACTCCACGGCCGTAGCCAAAGTAATTCCAAGATATATCCATATCAGGTAGACCGTACTGAGCTGCATGTAAGATAATTAGTCGATGTCGATCACAGACACAATCACAGATTCAATCTGCAGATACAGTATCTACAAGCGGCGGCGAAGGCGAGCGAACCGAAACTGAATGGCAAATGGATTTGTTTAAGCCAAGAGTGCCAAAAAAAAAAAATTCAAAACCGAGACCCGAAGACGGCCAAAAGAGTCGAAGATGTTGGAGAAGTCGGAAGAGCCGAAAGCTCCGCTCGAGTCAAGTGTCAACAAAGTGATCAGCCGCCGCCCCCGCCCCATTTTAGCGGCCCAAAAAACGAGTCCAAAAGTGCACTCGGGGATCGGTCCGGTTACCGTGTTCACATTGCATAATGGTCAACAACTCAGCTGGCCAACTAGCCAGCTGGTTTCACTTTCGTTCGACAGATATTGGCCGTTTGATTGCGAAATTGTAGCCCACTTTTAGGAGGAGCTCGGAGCCAAAAAGCTCAACGCTTGTGTTTTGGCCAAAGTCCAAGCCAGAACAAGAAACACCTGCCAATACCGGAAGTTTATGCTTTTTGTTTCTTGTGGTATGGTGCCGCCATAAAATTGGCAATTAAAACCCAGTGGCAATGTCATTGGCTGGTGGTGGCGATTGTTCGAGGTGTTGGCTTTTGGTGGAAAATCCAAAGGTTTTCTGGCCAGGTCAATAGCTTGGGTGGCAAGGCGGGAAATATAACCAGTCAAGTCTTAAAGTCAAACGGGAAACGTGACTTTCAATTATTGTGAAATTAATTACGTATGGTGAAATGATATATTTAAAATTTAAAACTTTTCAAAGGTATATTTTAAAAACAATATATTTATTTGCGTTCTAGTATTCACATAAAAATACTAATAAATATTTTAAAGCACTATTTGTATCTAAAATAGCTTCTAGACTAAGCTAAGAATATAAAAAATCACATTTCGAGTTTTGGAAGGTTCTGAAAGAATTCCCTCTAAGCCCTAATATTCTGCCTGATCCAGATATCATAGGCAGCCACACTTGTGTAGACTCCAGGCCAGTCCTTGAGGCCGCACTTGTAACCGAAGGACACAACTCCCTCCAAAACCCAGGAATCTCCCCGGAATCGCATCAAAGGTCCACCAGAGTCTCCATCGCAGCTGTCCTTTCCGAACTGTCCGCCGGCACACAGTTGGGTGGACTCCACATTGACCTTGATCTGGGAGAACCTCTGCCGGCATTTGCCTGGCTCCACCAAGTTGACAGTGATCTTTTGCTTGATGGGACTCACGGCCATTCTCAGAGTACGTCCCCAGCCGGATACGGTGAAGGACTGACCCGCCTGGCGGGGCTCCACGCCCACAACCGAGGGCAAGCAGATGGGCTGGATGTTGTCCGAATAGCGTACATTCCGCTCCAGTCGGATGAGTCCAATATCGTGGATCTGGTTGGGAGACTTTTCGTTGTAGCCCTCATGGACTCGGATCTCCTCGTAACCCAATCTCTGGGCGGCCGGTGCGCAGTTTCCACCATTGGGAGGACAGTCTATGGCGGTGCGTGTGTCATGTTCGCCCAATCTCACCGAGACACTGAAATAAATATTTTGTTTTTAATACCTATATAGTAAGTAAAATAGATCTAAATTATAATAAAATAGACTAAAATAATCGTCTCCCAACAACATATTTTTCAAAGTAAATGACCTGCGAAAAATATATATTTTTTAAATAGCTATTATATATAACAGTTATATTTTTTTCAGTGCTCTTAAATCTAATGAATGAGGTTTTAAACTGCGGCTATTAAACCCTAGAATTAGCTGCTAATTGGTGCCTGGCCAACGCCAAAATCTAAAGCGTAGCCAATCGAGAACCCAAAGGCCGTGAATCATCAGAAGCGGCTAACAAGAGGCGAAACACCTCGGATCTGGTTTTGAGAAGTCTAATTAATATTCTTGAAATCAGCAGTGTCTAACTCTGCTTTGGGGATCCCTTTGGCCTCGTTAAATGATTTAGCCGGAGAATGCAACCGGATTCGAGGAATTGTGGAACAAACAAGCGTGAATAAGCCACTTTCGCCGGTTAGACTAAACTGGAATGGGTAGTCGTCACGATATGATCGTAATACTCACAACTTGATTCAGACGCCCATTCATGAATCGATACAGGAGATCCATAGTAAAATCCCCTATTTCTGATCACAAACATTGATAGTCACTTCAGACTAATGGAATATTTTGGGGAGAGCTCATAGAAAAAAGTTTATTTGGAAAGGAGATGGACAGTAATTCCCCTAATCTTTTAAAGAAGTTTATGCAAATAAGAAAAATCCCCTTTTCTTTGATTAAGAAAAGTGTCAATCAGCTTGTGGTTACAGATGTATTTTCTAAGACGGAGTATTCCAAATATATGTCGACAAACCAAACTAATAACCTGTCAGTCTAAGAGGAGTCTCTTCTTAATGGAAATTTCCTATTCATATTTTTAACCACAGAATGCTTAACCAATCATTTAAAAAACCCATTTTTCTTTTTATAATAAACGGAGCCCGATGTTAAATGAACTTTTAAAGATTTAAGTTAAGTTTCTGCCCCATCCATTAAATAAATAAAAGATGAACCAAAAAAACCCTAAAATGTACTTTTTAAATCCTTTCATGTAATCCTCTTTACATCTACTTACAGTGTTCCAATCTCCCTTTCGATCCTTCCGGTAAGACAGTGGGCAGCCGTAAGGACATATCTTTGATTAATCAGAGATCCTGCACAGTTGGTGGCAATGCCATTGCCATTCCGACGACGATACTCCAGCAGGACCATCCAGGGAAATTCATTCAGGTTGGTGTCATCGCCTCCGTAAATCCGATTTCCGATGGATACGCCCCCGCAGCTAGGTGGCTGGGGTAGCAGAGAGGAGCCATCTCCAGTGGCAGGCCTTTGGAACGAGACTCTGTCGTTGCTGCTCGCCTGATTCCCGAAAGTCCATGGAGCGCCTCCTCTCTGATTGGGAAATGCAAAGGTCGAAGGTCTTTCCTCCTCCCAATCGCCTCCGAATCCCTCGTAATCCGGGAAGTTGGTCAATCGCCTGCTTTGCGTGTATCCTGTGTCCCCAGTACAGCAGACATAAGGACGATTGTTGGCACCCATTCCGCAGGCGGAGTTCTTGAGGAACTGCTTCGCCCGGTCTGACAATCTGGCCTGGTTCAGCACCGAATACAGGGTCTGGCACTGGTTGATGGGAACACAAAGTCCAGGCCTCTGGTTGGGGTTAAAGCATCTGGCATCTGCAACAGATAATATCGGAACTTATAAATCTGGTTTTGGCTGCGGTTCTGCAGGGGATGCCCCCAGATGCCGGGATGCACACGCGCCGGCGACGACATTCTTGTGGTCGCTTAACAAAGATTGATCGTGGCTCATCCAAAAAAAACAAGGTTTGCTTTAATTAATATGGCTATTGTTGGTTAGAGGATCATAAAAAAACACTTCAAAAACAAGAAGAGTAAAATGTCATAAAGTCTTTTAAGAAAGAAATATTCTATGCTATACAAAATATGATCCATTATTCTAGAAATTTAAAATGCCATTTGAATTTCCACTTAAAGCTCACAATCTATTTCAAAACAAATCTCATGAAGGCATATTCCTCATAGGTTTTTCCTAAATCAAAGGACACCTGATGCCAACCCGTAGAACATTTTTGAAACGTTATGGGAATTTATTCTTGTGAATCAAGTGCAGTTCAAATATGTCCGCTAATCACTAATTGCCGATCACTCGAAACTGGGCAAAGGCCCACTTGACTTGCGGCGCGTGCAATCTTCCCGACCAACTGGTCCAACCGGCTCAATTATAACCGCTAATATGACACCCTTGCACTTGTGAGTTTTCCCTCGATTTTGTGGGATTTTTTATTGCAATGGTCATTTCACCATAAAATATTTAACAAACACTCACTCTGGCCTCTGGCCTCGTTGGCAATAAGAATGCAAAAAATAACCGTCGCGAACACTTTCATTTTTGTTTATATTTTTAGCTTAAAATCGGACTCGATCTGTATTGCTTCCAGCTGACCGGTAATCGTTTGACTGTGAGGTGGCTGGAGTTGGCCCGATGCTTTTATAGCCTGAGCTCCAGTTCGGGGTTTTGCTCTCCGGGTTCTCAACAGCCGATCTCAAGATCGGGTTTATCAATGGAGCGCATCTGTTCTCCACTTTGCGGTTAGATCGTTTAGAAGTGGCTAGTACGGATCACTCAGAAAAATATATGTACATATGATTAAGCCGTCATTCCTATATGACGTAAAGATTGTACTTTGATCAAGCATAACAAATGAAAAACATTTATTTAAATAACTTTTTATAAAAATAGATATTACAAAACGGATTATAATAAATAGATTAGTGGAAACCTATTTTATTATATTATTTTTGAGCAACTTATTCTTTCTGTGTATAATTTAGCAAAAGATGCGTGTCACTGGGTGACACTGAAGGTTTTCCTATCCCAAAAAATATGCTAAAATATGCCAAATTAAAGAGTGCAACGAACTTGGTCTTTCTTAAGGTCTTGTCAAATATGTGACGTTGTTTTGTTTTGGAATTTTGATACACGTCATATAGCAGACTGAAATAGGTAACTCCGGCTTCTAATTCTCACCGATCTGGAATGTAAAAGTTGGGTTAAAAATTATCACAGGTGGCTTCATTCCATTGCATAAGGTGTAACTTCCATTTTTAGGGCTTTTCCAGTTATTATTATTTAATTAAAATTAACTTTTAACAATAAGCTCTTTTTTAATAACTAAAACCACCTCTCAGGCAAAAATCCATCAGCAAAATAAACTTTGTCGTTCCCGGTGGCGCCTGGTGATTTACCAAAAGCTAAAAGATTCTCAGTTCTGGGTGTCATCCACGTAAACCAGTTTCAAATGTGTTCTCGAAAATTTCCACAGCTTGTAAATGAGAGTTTGTTTTTTTTTTCTTTTGCTGAAAACCTAATGTTTCAATGGCTTATCTCTGAAGCTCTAATCTTTGCGGTATTTAAAAGTCAACGTTGGGTTCCCGGAAATAACCACGGGATACGTTTCGGACATTTGATACTTTCATCCGTTTGATTTCAAAGGCGAAACCACAAACCCTTTAATTTCCTGGCCCAGGATCAACATGTTAGCCCTTCAAGAAAGGGGTTTTCGGCACACCACGCGGAAAATGTCATCGCCAGATAAACGGAACGCTGTTTTTGAGCCCGCGGGTCCAGGGGTTGCGCCTTTGTCCCATTACGCGACTTCTAATTAGGCGTGGAATATGTTAAAAAAAAAAGTCTAGTATCCTGCTGCTTAACAAATAATAAAAAGAAGGATATAACCCACTGACAGCGGTGGGATTCGAACCCACGCCCTTTCGGACTGGTGCCTAAAACCAGCGCCTTAGACCGCTCGGCCACGCTGCCGCATGGCGCCATCGAGCCAGAACGTTCTGATGGAAACAAGCCATAGAATTTTTCCTTATCTTACTATAGTCTGAACAATTATATTACTCGCCAGAACGTTCGTGTGTGTAATTACAGAGTCACAAAGGCTAATTCTTTGCGTTTAACGCTGATTAACTATCGAGTGTTTAGCTTATCTCCATTTAAACTAAGCCATGTTTAATAAAAGCATAAAACACTACAATTTATTATCCATTTCGTTTGGAATGAATTTATTAATATTTTTTTAATTAATAATATTAATATTTTTTTATTTAAAACGAATAAAAAAATAATATTTGCAATCTTATTCTATGTTGTTTTATTAAATCTTATAATAGTAGCATACAAAACGTAGTCACTGTGAATAACAAACTTTTTATGTTTAGTAATAGTTGCCTATCAACTTTGTTTTACTATTATTATCTCCGTTAATATATGCTATAAATAATTAAGAAAATACTATATAAGTGCCTTAGTTATAATTTTAAATATAAATAAAAGAAAATATTTAAAAATTTCTTTTTTATAAAATTGAGTTCTTAATAGTATCCTAAAATTGTTTACATTTTAATGTTTTAAAAATATACTCTTTATAAATAATTTATAAAAAAGATTAAAAAAAGTAAAAAAAAAGTGACAGCGGTGGGATTCGAACCCACGCCCTTTCGGACTGGTGCCTAAAACCAGCGCCTTAGACCGCTCGGCCACGCTGCCTTGATGGCATTTGTGTCAAATGCGCAGTTTGAACTGAGACCCTCACTAAACCTAGCGCAGGGTGATTGTTGGCATAGTTTTGGGGATGATTTCTGAGCAGTGTTGCCGAGGCAGTCTCAAAAAGGTAGTAGAAATAGTATTAACCTGACTAAGCGTAGTCAAAATATAGGCGCTCTTCTGTCTTTACTTTCACATTAAATAAGTTAAGTTTTTTAAGTAAATAAAACTATTCAACATTACTACATCTTTTATGGACATAAAACTACCAAATAATTTTTTTTAGCAAAAGGTTGTAACAATGGCGGCTTTTTTACGAGCATCGCCATCGGAGCGATTCTAATTCATTGAGAAACGCATTTTGATTTTGCGATAATGAGAGTGGGGGTTGTTTTGGAACACCTTATCCTGCAACCTTTCCCTTTCCAAGGTTCCTGACCCCCTCCGAAGGTCCTGAGGTCGCTAACACCCTGCGCTATTCGGGATTTACGATTTTAGCAATTCGGAATATTCGCAAATTTTTATACCCTTATAAAAGGTACGTATATTGTATTGATAAGCTTCCTGAAAAAAAAAAACATTTTTCTCACTTATTTTTTCTTTTTACACTTTTTGTTCTTAATTTTAAAATTATATTTATAAATATTAATTTATAGAAATTTATTTCACTTTTATTTTCAGAGTATTTAAAACTTCGTTGACCATTCCCTTAATAAAGCCAAAATTTTTTTATCCTGAGCAGTAACAGAAGCTACAGATTTTATAGCCTTTTTATGTGGTCATAGTTTCGCTTTCGTTTTAGCCTTTTACGAGTATTTTATAACTTGTTTACATTAGGCGAGTGAACTGCCGAACATCACCCCAAAATGTCACGTAACGGAAGTGCTGGGAATCGTTTTATGCAAAAATCTATCAAATCGCTGGCGGGCTGCATAAAAAACGTCATAAATGTCGATTGCTGGATTCTGAATAAAATAGCACCGAATCGTTAAAGATGTAAGTCAGTCAGATTCGAGATTGTTACAATGCACCAAAGCGAATCTGTAAAAAATCGAAGATTAAATGGATTAAGTTTTGTCCTGGAAAATGATTTTGCAAAAACTTTCAACAGTTGAAATGTGGCTAAAGTGGGGAATGGTGGTACTATGCCTTCTAGTTTCAGACAATTTTTCAATATCGAATAATACGAGTAGTTCAGACGAGGAATTTAATCACATTGTACAAAATATTGAAAAAAATATGAAAAAAATGGCAAAAAACATGGAATCTGGTTTTCGCATCAATATAAAACAAAGCAAACAAATTAATGATGATTGGGTAAGCTAATAAATATTATTAATATTTTTGAATCTGTGGATCTATTTACTTTTAAGGAACATTTTGGACATCATTTTAAAAAACTTGTATTAAAGAACGGGGGAGAGCCAGGCAAAAATTTCTCTATGAGCTTTGTTTTTCTGGGTAAAAATCATTCAAAAAAGAATAAGAAGAGATTGACAACAAAACACAACAAGCACTAAGGTAAATTTAAATAGTTTAAAACAAATAAGCCCCCATACTAGAAAAAAATTTTTAAGCGATATATCTTAACTTTATATTGCGTTTCCAATGGAAGTTAAGTGAAACGAATTGATTTGTCAGGCATATCCTTGGCCATTCAAGTCTCACGAATTAGTAGAACGATGACAGCCCATTTAGTAGTACATCTTATTTTAACCCTCTTACTTGCAGAACTGTTCCAACTAAGTCAGGCCACAAAAAAGAACATAAAACCTAATCGACAGGATGTAAAGGACAAGGTAGTTATCCAAACTGACTTTTATTTAAGATAAAAAATAAAGAAAATTTCTCGTTGAAGAAAAACCAGCGTGACAAAAATGTTTTCAAAATCAAACCCGCCGAAAACACCCACATACAGTTTAGTTACTACCGACAAAATGTAAAAAACTCAACTAATTCCAAAGGCAATAAAAAAAAGGAACCGAAATACTATCTCAACTTTGATTTTAACAACTATCGAAATCCCAAATCATCAAAGGATCGACAAGCACTTTCCAATAAAGTTAAAATGCGACGAACTAGAAAGCGATTGCTTCCAAATGGAAAACCCAATCCCTACAATTACTTCCCATTAAAAGGAGAAGATATGTAGCAAGATAATTATAAATAAAGTCTAAATTTTTACTCACAAATGATAAAAATAACTTGGGACTTTTTAAGAAAAAATAGGCGACAACAATTATTTCACGACAAATTTAGCAGTGATTCAAAATAATAAACCATAAATTATAAGTCTAGAAATTAAACAATAATATATACAAATATAAAAATGTTGAAGGTAGTTTATCAAAAGCCAGACAGTTTCAAGATACCAACCCAGACCTAAGAGACATTGAATTCTTTATCTAAACGCCATAACTTTGGTGTGTTGTCATTAAGGTACTTTCCTTTCCTGCGGAAAAAACAATTGTATAAGGCTATAGAAAAGAAAATGGATCAATCACTGAGTGCGTCTCAGATAAGGAATTTAAGTTCAAAGTTTGAACCAAAAAGAAACTTCAGGTAGTATATAAGGCCTGCAAAAAGCACTCTTAAGTTTAGTTTAAAATCGTAACATGAACAATTTAGTGATTTCGCTGTTGGTGATAGCCCTGGTGGGTCAACACCAAATCAGCGCCAAGAGCCTGTTCAGTTCTCCTCCAGTAGTAGTAAGTAAAAGTACTTAAATATAAATATAATAGGGATGAAAGTTATTTTTTTACAGACATCTTCATCGGATAATTCTTCTAGCGTTACCAAAAGTTCAGACACAGAACTAACCTGTGCCTGCTCCTGTTCCAGTGATCCAATCCCCTCCAATGTTGCAGGCAGTATTGCTAGTGGAGTAGCCAATGCTGCTCATGATGTGGCTGGATCAGCAGGAACTATCGCTCATGACATTGGAAGCGCTGCTGGAAATATTGGTCAAGCTGCGGGAAATGCTGCTGGAAATGCTGCCCACGACATTGCTGGATCGGCTGGAACTATCGCTCATGATATTGGAAATGCTGCTGGAGATATTGGTCAAGCTGCGGGAAATGCTGCAGGAAGCATTGCTGGAGATGCTGGAACCGTAGCCCATGACATTGGAAATGCTGCTGGAGATGTTGCAGGAGCTGCAGGAAATGCTGCAGGAAGCATTGCTGGAGATGCTGGAACCGTAGCCCATGACATTGGTAATGCCGCTGGAGATGTTGCAGGAGCTGCGGGAAATGCGGCAGGAAGCATTGCAAGTGCTGCTGGTAATGCGGCTCATGATGTCGCAGGAGCTGCTGGAACTATTTATCACAATGTTGGTAGAGCTGGTGGAAATATTGGCAACGATATTGGAAATGCCGCTGGAAATATTGCAAGTAGCATCGCCAATGCTGTTGGAAATGGAGTCAATTCGGCCGCGAATGCCGCCAGCAATGCAGCTGGAAATGTAGCCCATGTCTCAAGCCATGTTGCAGGTGATCTTGGAAATGCTGCTTCCAATATTTTCGGACATATTGGTAACACGGCTGGCCATGTCGCCGGAGACATTGCTAATACAGCTGGCAATGTTGCTGGTGATATTGGTAATGCCGCTGGTAATGTTATCAGCGGAGCTGCTAATACTGCCAGCAATGTGGCCGGAGATATTGGCAATACTGCCGGCAATATTGCAGGAGATATTGGAAATGCTGCCGGAAATATTGCCAGTGATGCTGCAAATGCGGCAAATAATATTATGCACTCCATTGCTGGTATATTTTAAATGGGATTTAATAAAGGAATAAATCATTTTTAAATTTTAAAATCGAGCAACTAATAAAAACATTGAGTAACACTTAATTCAACACAGATTTTATTCAAATATCTTACTTTAAAAATAGATCCACCTGACATGACCTAAAAGATCGGCTTTAAGTGGTGTTTCCATTAAAAATAGTTGCTAATCTGATAAATAAAGCATAAGTCCCCCTAGTTGTAAGTAGTTCAATTAACAGAAAAATATTTATTTGCCTGAAGAGCCTGGTGAGTGCTTCCTTTGTGTTCCAATTTAGCCCAAGTCCATCAACAAGTTCGGCATCAATTAGTTTGGGTTGTTTTGAAATCCAAGAACTGTAAGCAAGGTCGAGTTCCAATTTGAAAATGCGTGCATCTGCTCCCGGCCGGAGATCCCTTGATTCCTCGATCCCCCATGGGGGGAAGTCATATCACAGAAAAAGGGGTCAAATGATACGAAAATCGATGTCGGAACACGTGATTCCCGACAACATTAGGGGATCAAGTTACCCAAAATAATAACCAAGGCAAGGGCAAATACCACCATACACACACATCAACGATGTTTTTTAATATTTAAAGCATTTTTATTATGACAAGTAGTAGGTGGCTTTTGTTCCTCGTACCTCCAGAATTTAGGTCATCATCCAAGGGCCGGGAATGGGGGAGCAAGGTACAATGAGGGCCAGCCTTTCCGGAAGACGTTCTACCGAGGGTCGTCGGTATAATTTTTCTACCCAGCCCCGAGCCATTATGTTGTTTTATCGAGCGGCAAATTTCGATGCCTCCTACATCGCGTCCACGATCATGGGTCACCCTCACGATTCTCACCCATAACGAAAGTCGTGCCACCACTCGAACCTGCAATTATGAAAATTAACAAACATTTTGGTAATTAATTTCGGCAACCCTTTGGGCGGCGCCTCCCAACTGCGACGTGGCACCCATAATCCCGCATCAATTAAAATGCACAACCCGTAATCTCCACCCACGAAATATGGCTTTGGGAGGTGATTGTGACCACTAGATGGATAAATAATAAAATAGACAAAATATGAATGGAATATTGTAATACTCTTTATAGTCAACAGTTGTTTAAAAGTTAAATTAAATGGCTGCGAAAAGGCCTTAAAGCCATTATGTCATTTGAGTGAATAAAACATAATCCTTTTTTTCATTTGTATTATTTAAATCCCTTTAAAATACCCCAAAAGGCAAAGGGTATAATTATGATAATACAAAATCGTTTTAAATAATTTGTGACACTCTTTGTCAGTCAATAGGCCGTCAACATTTGGGCCATTAATTGGCGGTTTGACAGCTGAAAGAGCTGGAAAGCGGAATCCACATCCGCGGTGGATCGCAGTCCGTTTTGTGTGGGTGTGATTTGGTAATTGAATCACACACAACTCGTCTCACACAGAAAAGTGCTTATATCGCAGATATATATAGAGGATATAAGCATTGGATCGGGGCAGAAAAAAATGAGAGAGAAGGACGGCAAATTGTGCAAATCGTGTTGGCCGAAAAACCGGTTTCGGCCTGTTTCTATGTTAGTGGTCAAGGTCTAAGGAGCAGCGGACAGACGGACACACGGACAGATGGACGGAGCTTTGCCGAGGAGCGGCTGGGGGAATAAACAATAACAGCAGGCCCAGTGTGGCGGCACACACTGAACAAAAAGCCAAGTGGAAAAAAATAAAATGGACAGCAACAAAAACCACATCGAGAAAAACAGAACCAAAAGGAGTCACGAGAATTGCATAAACAATGTATGTACAAAGTCTGACAGGGTACATACATAAATCGAGTTATATATAGCTGGAAAGAGACCGAGAAAGAGTTAAAACCACTGGATAGGGTGCCCCATGATTATACAGATTAAAAACTAAGTTTAAATGGCATTATTTTACACTAAACAAACTTTAAATTCACCTCCCTCTCTTGAGCGGACACCTGGACCCAAAAACATTCAATTTCGAAATACTTTTCAAAGTCAAAGCTCTTTGGTAAACGACTCACCCTAATAAGAATTCAAGAGGCACGCACATGCATCATGCAACATGCAACAGCGGCGTGATTGCAACGCAGCAGAAAAAAAACTGCATATGCATCGATGTGGCATCTAAACAGACGGCATATTGTACATAAGTGCATCGTTAAAAAAAAACTGCATTTACTTCGTGCCCCTGCTGCAATGGTGTTTGTGTGTCAAAAAGGGTTGCCAAACCACTTTGCGCCTCACCATATATACAACAAAAATATATATATTGACGATATATACACCACCCAATGTGAACAATGCACACTGGCAGGACAGTAAAGGAGAAATCCCTATAATGAACATTGTTCAAGCCACAAAACTGGTTTTCGATTACGTCGACGTACCTTTTACCCCATACCCTTCCACCAAAAGTAAAAAAAAAAGCGAAGAAGCCAAAGGTTGTCTTATCGCTTCCCGCAGAAAAAGGCACTTGACCAAAACCAAAAGCAAAAAAATGTAAAACTCGGGACCTCTTGGGAGAGATTGAAATCGGAGGGTTTAGTTAAATATCGATGCAGAGCCATGATTCTTCAACTGCAGCATTAATCGTCGCCAGTTCAGCTGTCAGCTGTCACTGCCAAAACAATTTTCGGGGCTTTGACTATAATTTGCGACACTTCACACGCACATCAACAACAGCTTTATTAAAATTAATTAATGCCTAGGCACACACAGAAAATTATACACTGAAAGAAAGAGATACACAAATCAAAAGAGTTTACAGGTGAGGACAATATTTAAAAGACAGCCTTTTCTATAAATATATATTTTCATTTGACCTGGATTTTATAGAAACTATCATTTAATTATCCTTATTCATGCTAAACATTTATTCAAGTGCCTTTTCCAAAACTATGTAGGACCTAACACCCTATAGTGTGGTCTGGGGATCACCGTCATTAAGCTCCTATCAGTTTACAATGCTGTTCTCCTGCTCGGGGCAGCCGAAAAAAAATATGCTTAAATTAAATTAAATGAAGTGAGTGTGAAAATGCTGCTGGGAGGAAAGGCGGTGGCAGGGAAATGTGGAAAGCCACAGAGTGCAAATGGCCCGACGAGTGGGCCTGGCCAAAAGGAAACACGCTCAAGTGATTTCCATTCCAAACACCCCTGACCCGACATTACGGCCACCATATACTATATACTCACCTGTACCCTCCTGTCTGGCTGTTGATGGTAAATCAAGATAAGCAAATTGTTGCCGAAAAATAGAGGCTCACAAAGGAAGCGATTTGGACGTTTTAATGATGATAGAGCATGACACAGAATAAATGAAAATGAAGTGTGGAAAAAATTCATTTAAATTGCGGGGTAAACACAAAAAACGACACCAAAAGTAACTGTTACACGAGAGGTAAAAGGGTGGGAGCATTTTGGGGAGGGGAAGGCAAGGCTCTTGATTAATGATTGTAAAGGATTATTTTGATATGCTCGGGAGAAACTTCCAATGACAGGCACAATGATTTGCCCACTGGTAAAGTGAATATTTCTATTTGGGAAGGAGAATCAACAAGGTGGAACTGTTGATTCTTAAACAAAAAATTATCATACTAGTCGGCTTTTTAAGGTCGCGACGGAGGATCCCCGTCAAAAGTCTGCGAGAATGCATGGGAGAGACTGTATAACATTTAAAGAAGGACATGTTTTGGCCATTACACATCCGATTTGTAAGAGGATAACCATTAAGGGTTATCCACAAACCAGCATCAAAATCTACAAACAAAATATTTTTTAGATATTTTTTCAAATTTTCTGGAGGATACCTTTCAAAATCTGCAAAATGCATGGGAGGGACTATATGGCCCACCGAAAAATCTGTATCTTTGCCAAAACCCATCCGATTCTTGAGCTGAATACCTTAAACGATTTCTATATTGATTCTCAATAAATCTGCATCAAAATCTACAAACAAAATATTTTTTAGATTTTTTGTCAAATTTTCTGGAGGATCCCCTTCAAAATCTGCAAAATGCATGGGAGGAACTACATGGCCCACCGAAAAATCTGTATCTTTGCCAAAACGCATCCGATTCTTGAGTGGAATACCTTAAACGATTTCTATATCGATTCTCAATAAATCTACATCAATATCTACAAACAAAATATTTTTTAGATTTTTTGTCAAATTTTCTGGAGGATCCCCTTCAAAATCTGCAAAATGCATGGGAGGAACTACATGGCCCACCGAAAAATCTGTATCTTTGCCAAAACCCATCCGATTCTTGAGCGGAATACCTTAAACGATTTCTATATCGATTCTCAATAAATCTACATCAAAATCTACAAACAAAATATTTTTTAGATTTTTTGTCAAATTTTCTGGAGGATCCCCTTCAAAATCTGCAAAATGCATGGGAGGAACTACATGGCCCACCGAAAAATCTGTATCTTTGCCAAAACCCATCCGATTCTTGAGCGGAATACCTTAAACGATTTCTATATCGATTCTCAATAAATCTGCATCAAAATCTACAAACAAAATATTTTTTAGATTTTTTGTCAAATTTTCTGGAGGATCCCCTTCAAAATCTGCAAAATACATGGGAGGAACTACATGGCCCACCGAAAAATCTGTATCTTTGCCAAAACCCATCCGATTCTTGAGCGGAATACCTTAAACGATTTCTATATCGATTCTCAATAAATCTGCATCAAAATCTACAAACAAAATATTGTTTTTATATCAATAAATTTGCATCAAAATCAACAAACAAAATATATTTTAGATTTTTTGTCAAATTTTCTGGAGGATCCCCTTCAAAATCTGCAAAATGCATGGGAGGAACTACATGGCCCACCGAAAAATCTGTATCTTTGCCAAAACCCATCCGATTCTTGAGCGGAATACCTTAAACGATTTCTATATCGATTCTCAATAAATCTGCATCAAAATCTACAAACAAAATATTGTTTTTATATCAATAAATTTGCATCAAAATCAACAA